ATATTTGGGGATAATTATTAAAAATGTTTCCCGACTGCTGGTGTAAATAATGAAAGCAATGGCGGTGCATGGCATCATGCCTTAAGACAAATTGCTGGAACTTACCATACAGGAAATTAAATTTTCTAAAGAAAAATTTAAATATTTTAAGAACTTTGAAAAAATTAGATTTTTAAGAAATTTAATATTAAAAAAATTGATTTGAAAAAAAAATAAAACCTCTAAAACGTAAAGATAAGCAAGAATTTTCATTTTCGATTTTTATGTGATTACTATAACTTACTCTAGGGGAAGTTAAAAATTAATCTCAAACATATAATTTTGTCATTGCTAACCGTCAATATATCGACGCTAGTACTATTGTAAGAAAGTGACGTTCAATATATTCGGCAAAATGGTTCTAAAATCTAAAAAAAAAATGTGTCGACTACAATTTACTGGTCGAAGAATCTAAAGTATCGAGAAAAAGAGGCAAAAAATATTTCAGAAACATTAACCAAATCCAAAAATCTTCACGCAATTTATGCAAAAATTACTTCTTTCATTTCTTGCAAGAAGTTTAAAATCTTAGGATTTAAATTGACCATATCTATGTCATCATTTTTGCTCCAATTACCTCATTGCACAACCTGGACCAAAAAAAAGTTAAAAACTCTGATATCCAGCTCAATTTTTTTTCTATTCCAGATTTTTCGATTCAATTAATTTTTTTATCGTGTTCCTCTTTCTGGTAAATGTATATTTATATATTTAGTATAAAATTTGTCGGTCGTTTGTATAAAATTACGAAACCGGAGAGGAGGACATACATAATATAATTCTGTTATCGTTTTGGTGACCCCGTCGTCGACTTGATCTAATTAACGGCGGATAATTATTATCAGGATAATTATATATGTATATATATATATAAATTATTACTGAATATTGAAATGCGTACGACTAAATTAATATGATGACAGATATTGTTTATAACAAATTGTAATACGAAGAGATTCACTGGTACAAAGCAGAGTAGTTGGTGCACATTTAGTAGCTTTTCTATTAATGACTACTACAAGACAATCCAATAGTTACCCTAGTCTGTTTTCATTTTTTTATCAGAAGGCAACTCAGAGGGTTGTCCTATATATGTATATGAATATATATAACAAGTCCTCAGATCACGAGTTCTCCTCACTCTTATCTCTGGTTATGAGTTCATCAACAAAGTCTCATTCATTTTTTTCCAAGATCCAAATATCAAACAATTTTTTTCCCTCGTGGCGCCAAATACTTGGAACTGGCAAAAAAGTATCCAAACAAAAAAGCTCAAAAAAGCAAAACAACATTTTATCATCATCCTCTGCTAATTACTTCGCAATCAGCAAAATTATTCGCAATGTGCTAAATTAGTCACTTCTTGGAATTAAGATAACGCATTCATTAAATAATTTTATTTCACGATGATAAAGTCCAAAAAATCGATATACACCACACACGCCGACGATTATCGATATTGACGTCATTGACGAGGAGAGCATAGGACAATGTTGCGAAAAACGCAAAAATCAGCAAAAAATCGTGGATCATTCACAATTGCCTTTCAACTCGGATGTATTTGTTTGTCATTTTTTCTTCCTGAATATGTGAAAAAATGACAAAACACGAACAGACCAACATTGTTGGTCCTGATAAGACGAGAAGTCGACGAGAGCAAAATGAGACATACACGGGATATGGGATATGGGATATGGTCGTTGATAACGACCACGACGACAACATTATTATTACATTGCATCCTTTTTGGATTGCGTAAAAATATCTACACATAAAATGATACCAAGGGACTGCTGAATTGTATTACAATCCACTGATGATCAACTCTTCTCCTTGACAAATTGGGTGAAGAATAATGGTGAGACAGTTACAGGGTACCGACCAGGTGGACAATTTTGAAGAAAATATCAGCATATCATTGATAGAAAAGACTGCTAAATTATATTGCAAATCGCTGATGAGCAACTTGCAATTTATGAAGAAAATTGACTGCCAGATGCATCTGATATTTGAAGATTATTCTTGGTCTCTAAATTGGAGTTTAGATTATTCGCATACCAATTATAGAGATAGCACCTGGAAATCTATAGATTTGTCCATGATCCACTGATGATGATGAAACAAAGCAAGATTTCAAGAAAATTATTCATAATAGATTCATAATAGTGCCTAAATTAAAATTTGAGCTATTTGTATACCAATTATTGCAAAAGATGTACGAAATTTATAATACTTTAAAAATATTCACGATCCACTTATGATCTACTTGCAAATCTAGAGAAGAAGGATTTCAAAGAACGAGCTGTATATGGCATCGCAATTTACCCAAATTGCCAGAACTTTCCGTTCCAAAAATTAAATTTGGTAAAAAAGATTCAAAACTTTTGTACATCTTTGAAAAAATTAGATTTTTGAAAATTTTGAAATTTTTAGAAAGTGAGTTTTTTAAAAAATGATTTTTTTATTTTGAAATGTTTTGGAAATTATGAACTTTTTTTAACGCAATGCCACTGCTTTAGCTCCGTAGAGATGAAATATCGAAGCGGGTAAACGATGTATCGTAGTCTAATGGATAAACAATGATACGGAACCCATAAAAATGTAGACAAAATTTATACTTATTATGAAAATTTGATGTGCATATGTCAATCATTTCTGACCGCCAAATGGCATTTTTTAACTTCCCGTAGGGTAAGTTATTCTAATCATGCAAAAATCGAAATTGAAAATTTTTGCATTTCTCGACGTTTTGAAGGTTTCTGAACATTTTGGCATACCTCAGAAAAAATGGATGGATGTGTGTGTGTTTGTATGTATGGATGGATACAATTTTTCGTCCACGTTTTCGGGCGCACGGATCAACCGATTTGAATGATTCAAAAAACATTCGATTCCTATTGATAGGGAGATGTGCTGATTAGTTTTTGGCAAAAGCAAGTCCAGTCGTTACGGAGATAAAGAGCAAAGAGTGCAGAATATAGAAATCGAGTTTTTGAGAGATCGGAGCATCCGATTTGAATGATCTGATCTAAAAAACATTCAATTATCAATGATTGGGAGAAGTCGTTATTAGATTTTGGCAAAGGCAGGTCCAGCCATTTAGAAGATACAGATCTAAATGTGCAAAAATGGCAGTTTTTCAGAGATCTAAGTATCCGATTTAAATGATTCGAAAAACTTTCTGCTTGTTTTAACAAAATAATTGATTTTGAAAAAAAAATTGTTTCAAAATAGTTTTTTTCAATTTTTTTTCAAAAAAATTTTTTTTTGTGGATCGAATATAATTCAGATTTTATTTTTAATCCTGACTAAAGTTCTAATACACTTTAATCAAATAATTTCAACTTTGCAATTCAGTTTATATAATTCTTATAAATAGCAGACAATGTTACAATTTTATAATAATCTATTTGAAAACATTCAATATTCCTCGAACATTTCGTTACGGTACGGGAAGTTCCAGCAATTTTCCTTAAGGCACGATGCCACATACCCCACTAGTTTCCTTTTTTTTTCGATTCTCCAAAACCGCTAGCCTTGCCTTCCCAAAAGTTTCACAAGTTCTTCATTTGGTCAATACAAGTAAAATGCTTTTTGAATAATTGAAATCGGACGCTCCGTTCTCTCAAAAACTGAATTACCATTTTTAGCGTATCTCCGAAACGACCGGACCTGCCTTTGTGAAAAACTAATCAGCACATCTCCCCATAAATAGGTATCGAAGGTTTTGGAATCATTCAAATCGGTTGATACGTGCTCCCGAAAACGTCGACAGAAAATTGTATCCACACAAAATACACACATACACATCTATTTGTTCTGAGGTATGCAAAAATGTTCAGAAAGTCTTGAAACGTAAAAAATTTAATTCTCGATTTTTGGACGATTACTATAACATACTCTACTTTAATTTAAAAAATTGAAAGCAAAATAATTATTTTGCTTAATAAATTAAAAATTTAAATTTATGCATGAAGGCATATAGTTCTGAGAAACGTTAATGTAAGTTAGATACTAGTCTAATTTATTTCCAGCCCTTTAGAAGAAGATCATATACCATTAGTTTAGAAAATATTTCATAAAAATACTAGTATAAAGTTCGAAAAATGAACCCAAATATAGGATATAAAATATAAGAAGACCTCTTCTTCAGACTGTAGTATCATCTTAGAGCGTTTTGTTTTTGCTTTTGATCGAAAGACAGAAGTCATTTTAGCTTGATTGTCCATATAACAATTTTCCAGAAAACCCATTTTTGCACTTTATGCTACACACGTCTAATTTTCATAATATGTAACAATCCAACAAATATTCCTTCTAATTCCTGGGGTCATTATATCCAGACTCCAAATTCGAACTCAACGTCCATGGGGAGACTACGTCCAAACACTCAGAAGTCGAACACGACTAGTTTGATAAACATTCATAAAAATTCCTACATCATCTAAGATCGATAAAATAAATATTCCTTTACATTCCTGTGGGTCATTATAACCGGACCCCGCAAATTCTCAAAATTCAAATCCAACGTCCACCGTTTTTGGGTACTACTCATAATATGTGACAATCTAACAAATATTTCTTTTAATTCCTGTGGGTCACTATAACCGGACCCCCAAATTCAAACCCAACGTCCACCGTTCTTGGGGCCTACTTTCCTGGGCGCATCAACATCTCCATTGACAGCTCTCAACCGTCCATCCATTCATCTCTTTCTACTGTTCCGATGTCCCCTCCTCGGTACAAGTCTCATCGTCTCCAAGTTCGAAACTTCGAGCTTTGCTCCAACACTTTAGTTCAAGTCGAACGGTCGACTGGCTTAGTTGCCGAACAGTCGTCGTCAAAAATCAAATAAAAAATAATAAAAAGACATTTATACGTTAAGATATATATTTACGAAAAATATATATCTCCATTTAGATGTTTACGAGTGCTTGTCGGAAGATCGTTTGTTGGATTTTTGGGTGATTGTTGGTGAAAAAGAGGCGGGCGGGGGGTCCCCAGAGCACGGAAAATGCGGCCCCAACAATTGCGGTGAGTAGATAAAGGACTCTCTTGTAATGCAACTTAGGATGGACAAGTTTGATTTTCATGGATAGTTATGTAATGTTAAAATTTGAAAATTTTGATAAATAAGTTTAAAATTAATTAATAATAATGTAAATTAAAAATTCCAATGCTTTAGCAATAGTAAAAATCAATATTAATCATTGCAAAATGTGTTTGTAAAAATGTATATCATTTAAAATATTTATTTATTTATTTAACATAACTTTTCATTCTTGATTGCGAATTTTCAATAAAATTTATAAAATAAAAATATTCACAATTTAAAAAAAAAATCAAAATTTATTTTATATGTATATAATAGTCTATTATTAAAATTTAAAAAAGCTGCTTTAGCTTCATTACGCTCAGAGTTATTTCTTCCCTCTTTATAACGCGGTTGTGTATGGTGCTTTCAAAATTTGTGAAAATTTATTAAATTTTTATACTTTGATCTTTTTTCTTAATATAAGTTACATTATGAATATCTGTAACTATTTAATTTGTAAATTTTCAATTATATTTAAAAAAAAATTCAAAATTCGTTTTATATTATAATTGTCCACAATCAAATAATAGTCTGTTATTAAAATTTAAAAAGCTGCTTTAGCTTCATTAAGTTCAAAATTATTTCTTCCCTCTTTATAACGCGGTTGTGTATGGTGCCTTCGAAATCTGTGATTTTTTTTACATTTTTCATATTTTCAAAATTCTTAAGTTACATTGCGAATATTGTTTTTAATATTTGTAACTATTTCATTTGTAAATTTTCAATTATTTAAAAAAAATCTCAAAATTTGTTTCATATTATAATTGCTGCTGTAACTTTATGAATGTTCAAAGTGAATTTTACCGAGCAGCTCGCTTATAACGCGGTTGCGTACAGTGACTTCAAAGTCAGTGAAAATTTTCCAAGTGCAAACTAAAACTCGTTATCACTAAATTCACATTAATTTTACACAATATATTTTAAATAACACATTTTATTAGAATTTAAAACATTCTTAATACATAATTTTACAAATTAGCATATTTAAATCTTTTTTCTTAAGTTACACTGTGAATATTTTTTTAAATATTTGTAACTATTTCATTTGTAAATTTTCAATTATTTTAAAAAAAAAAAACAAAATTTGTTTTATATTATAATTGTCCATAATTAAATGCTGCTGCAGCTTTATGAACGTTCAAAGTGAATTTTACCGAGCCGCTTCGCTTATAACGCGGTTGCATGTAGTGACTTAGAAGTCGGTGAAAATTTTCCAAGTGCAACATAACCCGCGTTATAATGAAATTCGAGTAAATTTTACACAATCTATATATTAATTGCACATTTAATTAATTTTCAGACTTTTTTAATATAACTTTATACTTTATTCAATTTCGTTTTTTTTATATTAATTTATTAACAATATTTTGCACTTTTTCATGAAGTTTGTAATTTTTGTTGCCTATTCAAACAAAGCATGATAGAACAGTTTATTTAATTTTTTTCACTTACAAAAATATTATAAAATGTTTCATGTATAATTGCACTTGGAAAATTTTCAACGACTTGAAGCAACGATACGCAACCGCGTTATAAGCAAAAGACCCCGTAGAATTAACTACTTTGATTGTTCATGTAGCAGACTTTTAAATTTTAATTAATAACAATTCATATTGTAAAATAAATTTTCATGTTTTTTAAAAACATTTTTGTTTTCTTTTTGAACTTTTTACTTATTTTTAATGTGTATAAAAAACATTGATTTTTCCTTAAATTAAAATTAAAATTTTTGGTTCGAATTATATTACAAAAAACATTTTTTTATTATGAGTAAAATTTATCTTTATTATTTATCTGAAAGATTTTTTTTGATTTTAAAGTCTTATATTTTAATTTTTGCAAAATAATATCTTTGCATAAAAAACTTTGCATTTCCAGAACGCAAAATTTGAATACATAATTTCTTCTAAAAATTTTGCTCAACTACTGCCATAGTAGTTACATAATAAATAACGACAAGTTTATGTTTTCGCTTTACAAATTTTCTGTTTTCTCGACGTTTCAAGTCATTTTGAATCATTTGACCCCAATTTGAAAAAAGTATGTATTAGTAACAAACTTTGACTTTTCGTTAACAAATTCTCAAAAACTGCTGCACCGATAATAAATAAGACTTTATGGCAGAGCAAAGATTTGACCACAAAAATTAAATACTTCAAATTCTGCAGAATCTAATTTTATATATAAACGTAATTTAACATTTTCCAATTGTTATGATTTAAAAAAAATACCATTAATTTAAATTACCAAGTTGCCTCTTTAGCTCACTGTACTTCATACAGTATAGAATTTTCATAATATAAGTATCTAAATTAATTATTATTATCTTTCGTTTTTAAAATAATAAATAATTTTCGGTGTCCTTTATTCTTTTAATAAAAATACTAGTTAGATACTTTTATCTTATCTTTTGCCATTTTGTTTCTAAAATGCAACTACTAACCTACTTTTTAGGATTTTATCATCGAAATAGTTTTGATACCACTATTATAAACTACAAAGGATATCCGCCGGGATAAAAAATTAAATGAACTAGGTGTAAGTGGCAGTTGAAGCAAGTTAAATAACTGACTTAAACAATAATAATTGAGGATCAATCAGATACATTATCTTTTTGAATGGTTCTTGAATTTTTAAAATTTGTTCAGATTTTTCTGCTAATAATTATATATAATGAATAATTAATAATAATACTATAAAAAATTAGTTCAGCTCTTTTTGTAAAAACTACTATAATAAATAATTAATAATATAATAAAATATGAATAACAATAGAAATAACAGAATTTAATATACTTAATAAAGGAATGTTAAAAAAGATTTTGAAAACAGAAATGAATATAGTTATAAATTTTGAATTTGAATTCACAAAATAATATGAAAAGTCACAGTATAATAAAAAAAATTCACACTTTATTTTGAAAGTAATTTTGTCTGAAGTTTTTTTTCAATAAAGTGTAAAATATTAGTGAAGAACATTTCATGTTTATTACAAAAGAAATTTAATTTTATTTATTGCCTTAAATTTAAAATTCAATTGTAATATTGATTTCACTCAAACTTTGTCTAATAAAATCTAATTTTTTTTCAAATTTGGAGACAGAATAGAAATGTCACGTAGTTTATGTATCCACCAGAAAATCAGATTTGCCAATTCTGTGTTTTTTCAATATTTCAAGTCATACTGAATCGCTTGACATAGTCCTGAACCGATTTTGAAAATTCAAAACTCTTTGAAAGACATCAGTTGGAAATGGTGATGAAAAGTTTTTGGTAAAAAATTATAAATTATAATGGGAATTATTATTGGTTATACAACTTGCCTTAAGGCAAAATATCACTAACAACTAGTTTATTACAAACGTTTTAAAACGAATTCAAAATTAAATGCAATATTGACGGTTCAACGGAATTGAGGTTATGTTTGACATTCATAATGCAAAATAGTATTTTCCTTATATAAATATACTATTTTCCTTATATAAAGATTTACTATTTTTCTTATATATACATGCATAACTATTTCCATTAATATTGAATAAAAATGTAACTAAATATGATATTCTAAGAATGTAAAGGTTTCAAGTTCGAATTTCAAGAGACGTCCTACTATTGTCTTACAAAGAAAAAACGCTAGGTTTTTTCAACCAAAGTCCAACTTTACGAACACATGTTGTTGTAAAACGAGATTTTGAATAAATAGTCAAAAATTAAACGAGACATTACATTCTTCTTCAGGTAAAAGAAATCCTTGTTGTTCATGTCATGTCATACAATTAGGTTTTGTACATATTTACATATTGTTTGATTGTTATTTATTGATTTATTATTACCTGTTACGGCTAATGAGTAAAAGAAAGCTTGTAACTCCTATTTTGTTGTTTATTTCGGTATTTATGTCACATCACATTAAAAATTATTTGACAAACACCAACCGACTCCATTACAAAACTTTTGACAGCACCGACAGTGTTACCAAGCGCCATACGAGTATGCGGATTAAATTTGAACTAAAATTTTAGGCGCAAAATTTCAAATTTATAATTAGAAGTATTTTATTTATTAATATAATATAATTATTTATGTGATTAGTTTTGAAATGATAAATTTATTGGGATTGTTTAAACACATAAGATACTTATTTTTAACTTGTAGATATATTTTTACACATATAATTTGCATTGAAAAATATTGTATTTTATATAGTTTTAAGGAACTGTCATTTAGGGCGCAAATTTTAAAAACACTTAAGGCGCGAATTTCAAAAATGTTTTTAATAATATATCATACTTAATTATGTGATTAGTGTAAAGTGATACATTTATAGATGTTATTCAGATATAATATTTATTTTTAACTTAGAATTATTTTTTAATGTGTTATAATGAGTTATAATGGAATTAAAATATATTATATTTATATAATTTTTGTCTTTTTTGCAGATTATTCGCATCACTAGTCATATTAGCAAGCTCTACGACAGCGGTATGTATAAAATATTAATATTATTAATAAAATTTCATCATTATCATTTTCATATAATTATAAACTAAAATTTTTTTTAATGAGAATTCATCCAGTGCAAACCATATGTTATGTTTCAATAAGTAAAATTTGTAAAATAATCAACAAAAATATGAATGGATGCTTATATAAAAAACTTTTTATTGGCAATGTATATTATTATTATTATTCAAGTTTTCTGAACTAAAAAAACCCTATTTTTTATCAAACTTTCAGTTAGTTAGTTAGTAGATTCTTATAAAAATATAATATATATTGCCAATAAAAAGTTTTTTATTAAAATTTTATATAATTTAAATTTATGTATTTGTACTTATTAGAAGAATACCAGAATTAATTGAATATTATCAGTATTAGTTAAAAATATCTCATCAGAATAAATTTAAAAATATATTTATGTTCCCTGGACTTTATAATATTTAAATTTTATTTTATGTGAATATTAAATATGTAGTAGAAATAATTTTAAAAGTCGCTGAATTATTTTTATTATTATTTAATTTTGAATTAATATTTTATATATCGTTTACACATTTTTTACATTTATTAATACATATGTTTTTATGTACGATATAACAGTTAAACTTCAACTCAATATATTAAATTGTTAATTATTTAATTAACAAAATATGTAAATAAATAAGAATCATAAAAAATAAGCTACAAAGTATAAATTTAAATTTCAAGTTTAATTTTAGTCAGAAAAGGGATATTGCAGAATGAATTAATGCTAAAATCTGTGTTTTTCGTGTCATTTAAGAATAATTATCGACGTGTTGTTTAAGGGGGTATTCTACTGTAGAGTCATGAATTTCGCCCGGTTTTTGAAGCGCTGTATAAAGGAAACAAATAATATTTTTACTATCGATTTTTTTATCATTTGTTTATTGATATTTTATTATTATATAAAAAAAATATTAAAAAAAAAATAATTAAAATTCACAAAGTTATGAGCCGTCAAAGTGGGGGTTCCCAAAAAAAGAGGGTGTCCTGGCGTACATGATTCCAACCCTCCTGGTGATTAGAAACATAAAAAATAGATGGATTCTTAATTATAATAGATGTCGCTATCGTATGAACCTTGGATAAGCTGAAAAAAAAATTTTTGTTCGAATGGCGGCAGTTTGAAAAAAAATTAGTTTTTTTCATGTTTTTTTAACAATTCCAAATTTTAAAAAAATACTAAATGAGAAGTTATAGTTTTGGGAAAGGTCCATGCGATAAAGCGATGTATAGAGAAGATCCTCTCCAAATTTGAAGTAAATCGGTTAATTAGAACTCGAGATATCCTTACCGCCAGCTCGAAAAAAGTAGTTCCGAGAAAAACGCGTTCAAAGTTTTGAGACTCGCTCGGACCCGAACCGAGGCCACGTCACTAAAACGGCTATAACTCAGGAAATAATAATAATTTTGAAAAATCCTTTTAATGACATATTTTTGAATAACTAAACTTTGAAAATATGAAAAAAAAATTTTTTCGATTTTTTCAAAATTCTACAGTAGAATACCCCCTTGAATAAATCGCCAAATAAAATTAAATTTTGCAAAATTTCGGAAAAAAATATTTTCCCATGCGGGGAATCGAACCCCGGCCTCCTGGGTGAGAGCCAGGTATCCTAACCACTAGACAACATGGGAGTACGACTAAAAAGCGATAAACTGGCCTGTAGAACCATTTCGACATCACGGTAGAATACTTGGAATAATATTTGTTATTCTTAAGTAAGATTTATAATTATTTATTAAATAAATTAATTTAATAATAGTCTGCTACACCATAAAAAAATAATATTTGATTATTGATAAAAATTAATTATACCTAAAAGTGCAAGTGAATTTAGAAAAATTTGTATCGAATTGGACTTCATTTGGTCTCTTATTAAATAATAATTGTAATAAACAATTGAAATATAATATTAATTTATTTAAATTAACCACATAATCCAAACGTAGCTAATTGTCCTATTTTATTCTCTTCTCATATATTTTTGCAAATATGAAGTAAAAAAAATCAAGCCTATCCCAATATAGGTCTATAAATTCATAGAGCTTATAATATATTATTAATTAAATATACTGATTAATAATGATCATTAATTGATTTAGATACAACAGTTATAATAATGATAATGAGTTTATAGCATCGTTTTCGAATACTTTTTATAACAAATTTGAAAAACCTATGTAATAGAAACGCATAATGTACAAAATCATATAAAAATGGCTTTAAAATGTGATTAAAGAAGTACTTTCAATATTTTCAAAAATCTAATATAAACAATTATTACTGCTTAACAAATTTTTGTTAGTAGACATAATTAACAAAATTAATTTCACTCATAAGTTAATATTATATTTTTTGTTTAGATTTGTTATAAGTTAGTCAAATCGATTAGAGACACTTTATTAAAAATATAGTTTCTACAATAAATAATAATATTATGCATTGTATACAAAAAAATGAAAAAAATATTATTGGCCCATGGGGGGATCGAACCCGCGACCTTCGCGTTATTAGCACGACGCTCTAACCAACTGAGCTAATGGGCCGTTGAGAAACCGTGGAATTTCGTCGTAGGAAAACTAAACTCGTTTGTGTATATAACAATACGTATATAACAATACGTTTTAATATTAGAGATATTATTCTAAAATATCTCTTATATTGCTAAATGCTTACTGCGTGTTAAGATGAAATGCTTAAAATTCTCAATCTGCAGTTAAATTTGAATTTCTCAAGCTTAATACTTAAAATTTTATACACATAAAAGATATTCGATAGAATAACATGAACAAAAATAGAGAACCAGTGGTGCATGGCATTGTACTTTCAGGCAAGTTGCATGGAATTCTCGACATGTGTAAAAAATAAACTTAATCAATAATAAATCAATATATTAATGCATGAGGAATTTATATAAATTATCTAGTGAGTGATTAAAGAGTTGCTGAAAAATCAGATATCCTAATATCTATTATATTATATTACTAATTGCTTACTAAAAGTTAAGATAAAATGCTTAAAAATTCTCAATCTGCAGTTAAATTTAAATTTCTCAATCTTAATACTTAAAATTTATACATGTAAAAGATATTCGATAGAATAACACGAAGAAAAAAATAGAGAACCAGTGGTTCATGGCATTGTACCTTCAGGAAAGTTGCATGGAATTCTCGACATGTGTAAATAATAGACTCAATCAATAATAAAAGTGTTCCCGAAATCGTCGACGAAAATTTGTATCCGCACATACATACACACACACATACATACACACACACGCGCACATACATACACACACACGCACACACACACATACATCCATTTTTTCTAAGGTATGCCAAAATGTTCAGAAACCTTTGAAACGTAAAGATATATAAAAATTTTCATTTTCGATTTTTTTGCGATTACTATAACTTGCCCTACGGGAAGTTAAAAATAGAGAACCGGTGGTACATGGCATTGTACCTTCAGGCAAGTTGCATGGAATTCTCGTCATGTGTAAATAATAGACTTAATCAATAAGAAATCAATATATTAATGTATGAGGGATTTATATATATTATCTAGTGAGTGATTGAAGGGTTGCTGTAAACATCAATTAAAATGCATACATTTTACCCCCAAATATTTCATTTTTACCCCCAAATATTTCATTTTTACCCCATTTGGGGCAATTTACCCAGGTTTCCTTGCCACTGCTGTAGAGCATCATAATGTAAGAAACTAATATGGATTATTCAATGTTGAACAAAATTTTTTATTACACACTATTGAAAAACGAACACGTGCTAAATATATATTCACAAGAACCAATTTGAATAAACGTTTTATAATTGAACCATTTTTCACAAGACTATAATATTTATTCTATTGCCATACTAATTTTCATTAAAATCATCGATAAATTTTCTTCTAACAATCAATTACAAAAAAATGGCCTGGCCAATCTTTGCCCAAAGTAATGAACACGACGATTCCAAAAGTATATTTTCCTCCCTAATAGTTTTCGTTTTTTTAAAATCGATTCAGATTTTTTGAGCAAAACGCAGACGAAATATTTTGCATTTTTTTTTTAATTCTAAAGAAACGGCTCAGCCAATTGTATAAAAAAACCAACGAATGCGAATAGTTTGTAAATGTTTTAGAATCGACTCAACCGTTTTTGAGTAAACGTCGATGAAAGGTCTGTCTAATTTTAACAAACCTCTCAAATTATTTACACATGCCGGGAAGTTCCAGCAACCTGCCTTAAGGCAAAAATGCCACTTACTATTAGGTTTTTTATGTTGATTGTTTATTTGAGCCTCGTCTTTGAAAAAAACGAGGCTTCCAAAAATATTTCACCTCAAAGGGCGCCTCACAGTTGCACTGTATGAGTTACAGGAGCCTTCAAATTGCATGTTATAAGGAGCGCATTCACTTTGTTAAGTTGAACGACGGCAGTACTTCACAACGCGAGGTAGAAAGCAAATTTCAAGACTCTATAAAATTTCAAATTGGTATTACCGAACCTCGCTCTTATTTAATGAGCTATTTGATAATTTATTTCAATCACGGACTTTGTTTAGATTAGAGTTCATATCTCTGATCCGTACAGAACACACTCCAAATTGAACTAGTGGTGTATTGCATCGTGCCTCAAGGCAAATTGCTGGAACTTCCCGTACCGTAATGAAATATTCGAGAAATTTTAAACGTTTTCAATTTATCTCCAGAACATTAACAATCGTCATTTCATTTCGAATTCGATTTCAAAAAAATAGTTGCCAAAATTTGCACAAAATTGAAAAAGTGCTCCCGTACAGTCACAGTATAAACGCATTTGCAAATAATTCTGTGCGACATTTTCACTTGTACTGTGCTTTGCTTGGCGGCATTTTCACATTTTTCAATAATTTTCACAAAATTGGAAAAGTGCTCCAGTACATAAACAGTCTAAACGCACTTGGGTAAGCATTTGTACAAGAGTGGCGCTCAGACTGTGCTTAGCCCATTTTTTAACTTCCCGTAGGGTAAGTTATTGTAATGGGCTGAAAATCGAAATTGAAAATTTTTACATTTCTCGACGTTTTGAAGGTTTCTGAACATTTTGGCAAAAATGGATGTGTGTGTGTGTGTGAGTGTGTATGAATGTATGGATACAATTTTTCGTCCACGTTTTCGGGCGCACGGATCAACCGATTTGAATGGTTAAAAAAACATTCGATTCCTATTGATAGGGAGATGTGTTGATTAGTTTTTGGCAAAGGCAGGTCCAGCAGTTACGGAGATAAAGAGCAAAGAGTGCAGAAAATAGAAATCGAGTTTTTGAGAAAACGGAGCATCCGATTTGAATGATCTAAAAAACATTCAATTAGTAATGATTGGGAGAAGTGGTAATTAGTTTTTGGCAAAGGCAGGCGTAACCATTTCGGAGATACAGAGCTAAATGTGCAAAAAATGGCAGTTTTTGAGTAAACTAAGCGTCCGATTTGAATGATCTAAAAAACTTTCTGCTTGTATTGACAAAACAATTGCTTTTGAGGATAAAAAATTATTACATCACTTTTTATTTTCCATAAAATATTTTTATAATTTTGGATTGGAAATTAAAAAAATTACCCAGGCTAAGCACAGTCTAAGCGCCCAAGTGCGTTTAGACTGTTTATGTACTGGAGCACTTTTCCAATTTTGTGAAAAAAACTATTGAAAAATGTGAAAATGTCGTCAAGCTAAGCACAGTATAAGTGAAAATGTCGCACAGAATTGTTTGCAAATATGTTTAGACTGTGACGATACGGGAGCACTTTTTCAATTTTGTGCAATTTTTTTAGGCAATTTAGGCAACAATTTTTTTGAAATTGAATTCGAAATAAAATGACAATTGTTAATGTTCTGGAGATAAATTGATTTATGATTTACATTTGATTTGCTCACTCAGATATAACAAGATAGTAAAAATAATGAAAGTTACAGTATTTGTAATGATATATTTGAAAACGTTTAAAATTTCTCGAATATTTCATTACGGTACGGGAAGTTCCAGCAATTTGCCTTAAGGCACGATGCCATACACCACTAGTTAAATTTTTGGTCTAACTTAGAGTTCATGCCTCTGATCCGTACAGAGCCATACTCCAAATAAAGTACGTTTTAAATGCATCTATACATATAAATAAAATTGTAGTGTCTGTTTGTAATATTGAAATAGCCGATTTTTTCAAACATGCACATGAATATAAATAGAAGGCAGTATATACCAAATTACTGCTTTTTTCATTTTTGTGTCCATAATTTTATTTCAATCATTACCTTTCTTTCAGCAAATATCATGGGGTTCGAACCCGACCGGTAGCGGCCGCCGTTTCGGCCTCTACAATCCGTCCGTCGCCGAAAGGGCGAACGAGAGGCAGACGAGCTACGACGCCCAGGCCGCCCTTCTGGCGTCGCAGGACTCCCGAGGAGGCGCAGGAGGAGACTTCGTCGCCAGCAGTTACGACATCGTCGACACAAGGAGCAACACGGACAGGCAGGGATATCCTGGATACCCTTCTGGTGAGATAAAGGACAATTAGTTCATAATATTCTATATATATAAAAATAAGTCGGATTTTCCTTCCTGACGAAATAACTCCAGAACGCACAAACCGATTTCGACAATTTTGCATTCGTTGGAAAGGTCTCGGGCTCCGATCACAAACCGATTTCGACAATTTTGCATTTGTTGGAAAGGTTTATAGCTAAGAGAATTAGTGGTGCATGGCTTCGTGCCCTAATGCAAATGGCTGGAACTTCACGCACCGCAATTAAAAATTCGAGTAATGACATTAGTGAGAATTATCAGAATCATGCTTGGTTAAGTCAACGAGCAATTCTTGCCGCAAAGAATAATGATGTACACGCACGGAATTTCACCATTCGATCAAAAATTGCTGGCGATTTGGTGACATACCAATGATTCCGACTGGTCTTCCGTTTGACTTCAAACGATTGCAATTTCCAGTTCGCAATGACAAGTCGCAAGGCCAATCGCTTAGTGTTTGCGGGATTAATTTCAAATAGATTATTTATAAATTCATTGTTTTTCACATTGGCAGTTATACGTTGCCTGATCACGAGTTGGAAAACCATCCGCTTTGTTTGTGTTATCGTCAGACCAAAAAACAAAAAATGTGGTTTACCAAAGAGCACTTCAATAAAACGGATAATTTGCGGATTCACTTTCATTTACTTAGAGAAGATCAACTAAAAAACACTTCATTTTTGTAATCGAAATAAATTCATTACTGTTGTGCAATAAAATCAAATTTTTCCTTTTCAAATATAAAACAAACAAAAAATTTCTTCATCTTTCTCACGAAACCATCTGGTGGCGAAACGGAGTTCGTCGGGTTTGCTAGTATTCAAGTAAGAGTTAAATAATTAATAATTTTCATTTCAGGACAAAGTGGTACATATGCTGATGCTAAAAGGAATTGTACGGGATCAGGTTGCTGCATCCCTAAATGTTTTGCGGAAAAAGGATCTCGGGTAATTTTCAAAAAATCGAATTTTCAATTTTTCCATATTTTGATAGGTTATACCTTTAAAAATAACATACCAAAATTTTAAATTGATATCTTAAATAGTTTTTGAGTCACAGCTATTTAAAGAGTATATATATATAATATATAGTACATATAATGATCATTTAATCTTCGAAACAGCATTTTCCAAATTTGCTGCAGCGATTACTCAAAAACAAATGATCCGATCACTATCATTTTTTTTCACATGTTCTATATACAGTTCTCCGTAAAATGAACTATCGACAGTCCAAAAACGACCAAAATTTTGGGTAAAATTCGACTTTTTTTTAAAAAACGTCGTCATTTTGCCTATTTTTGATTTTTTTCTTTATCGTAGATCATTTTACAGACAATATTATCTAGTATAACGAGAATTTTTTTTAAAAATTTCGTCCACGTAAAAGGCCGGAATCACTGCAGCAATGAAGGCCCTTTTTTTGTCGCACCGTTGGAGATCGACGATAACTTAAAAAGTATTTAATTTTTTTCTTCAAAAATTTCACTATGTACTCTTAAAACATGTGTAAATATATTGAAATGATTGATAAAGTAGTTTTTTAATATAAATTCCTAAAAATCATCTTTTTTTAGGCGGTTACACTAGTTGTGCCCCTTAAGAATTAATGATGACTTCAATTTGGTAATTATCACAAAAAGATACCAGTAAACAATGTCAACAAATTCTTATCCAATTCTCAATTATTAATTATTCAAATTGTCCAGATAAAATCTATCCTTAATATTTAATTACCATTTTCAGGGTTTCCCTGGTGTAGCTGGTCTACAAGGACCAAAAGGTCAACGTGGTTTTCCAGGTATGGAAGGTCTCGTTGGTCCCAAAGGCGACAAAGGCGATCCAGGACCACCAGGATTGAGAGGCCTTAAGGGTGACCCAGGAAAACAAGGTAAAAGATAAAAAATATAATTATACCTTTCAAAACTCTATTGATCATTTAACAATGTTTGCTTTCTATTATAGGTTTGCCTGGTTTTCCTGGTATCAATGGCGTTCCTGGCGTTCAAGGACCACCTGGTGCACCTGGTATTAGTGGAGTTGACGGTTGCAATGGAACTGATGTAAGTAGAATCAAAAATATGTCAGCGGGCTTGTGACAAGATATGGTAGACTATAATAATGATCAATGTTTTTTTTCAGGGATCACCTGGTCAACCTGGTTTGGGTGGATCACCTGGTCCAAGAGGTATTCCTGGACCAATGGGTTTCAAAGGTGACAAAGGAGAACCGGCTTACGTTGGACAATTGCCAACTGGTGTCAAAGGTAACGCCCATTAACTATTACCACATTAGTATTAGGGTTTGTCTGTTTTCAAAAACCGTTTTTTTGGCGAAAATTATGGAGTTCGAAAACCGGTTTTTTAGTGAAAATAGTCAACACTGAATAAATGGAAAAGCGTTTTGATTCTCGAAATCATATCGGTTCAATAGCATTTCATATCTTATCAGTCTGCAATGGTTTCCAGAAAGGTTTTGTATATATTAATTTAGATTTTTATACCAGTGTATATATTAATTTAAATCAGTGTGACTTCTTCTTGAAGAAGTAACTTCCTCTACTCAAACTTAAAAAAAAAAGAGTTTTAAACCCTAGAAGCCACAAATTAAAGAACAAAAAACTTACAATTAGAATTATTATATCAGGCTTTGAAAACAATTGAGCATAATTTGGTCGCAAGTATGAGAGTATTTTCTATTTCAGAAAATTTAGTGAGTAAACAAAGGAGACACGTCTATGTAGAAATTCGATAGACGTTCTCAGTTTTTATAAATCATATTTTATTAAACAAAAAACAATTAGAATGTTTAAAATTAATTAATTAAAATTGCTCGGAACAGACAATACCCGAGTTTAGTTTAATTATTTTTAAAATTAAAATTGATATTAACAAGTATATATCAACATCTATTTTTTTTCACTATCATAAAAATATTTTCATTCTTATATGTGAAAATGATGCATGAATAACGAATAATTATTTTCAAAATTATTTAATCAAGATAAACTATTATTTTTAGTTCTACTAATTAAAATTAAAATAATTTTGTTTACTATCTATAAAATTGATCAATAAATAAATTCAGTCAAATACTGTTCTAAATCATACCATATTTGCGGATAAATTACAGAATATTCGAGTTAAAACCGTTTTTTTTTAGTAAAATTAAAATTCGAAAACCGGTTTTCTGAAATGTCGGTTTTTGTATAAACCCTAATTAGTATCTGTATTCTTTCATTTACAATATTTTATTTTTTACAGGTGAACCTGGTATCGATGGTGTTACCGGACCTCCAGGACCTCAAGGACCCCCCGGAAGAGATGGCCCAATGGGACCAAAAGGAGATCTAGGACCACAAGTAAGATTAGACTGAATAATATTTGGACTAAAGTAAATAAAGTGTTATTAAATTTATTTGTTGTTGTTATTTTAGGGTCGTCCCGGACCTGAAGGTTTGAAAGGACAAAAAGGAGAAATGGGTATCAACTTTATCGGTGCCGATGGTGAGAAAGGAGAAAAAGGTGACCCAGGAGAGGGAATAACAGAGTGCTGGAAATACAATAATGAAACTATCAACATTCGTAAGTTGAATTATAACTAGTTGGTATTGGCATTTTGCCTTGAGGCAAGTTACATGAACTTCCCGATATGTGTAAATAATCGACTTAATCAATAAAAACTAAATTAATTTATGAGTGATTAGAAGTATTCCGAGTGGATTTATTACATATGATTAAAAACGAACGAACACTTTGACCCGGAATATTTTATAATAGCAAATTTTCAAAAACCACCAGTTTTTATAGGACTTTAATGGTTTACTATGTTCATTAAAACCAAGTACTCTATCGTTATACCAAGAAAATCGTCTAATTTTAATTTTAACAAACATCAAAAAAAACTTTTCATTTTCTCAAACTTCAATGAATTTTTAAAATTAAACTACTTGTCGTAAGGCCGTAATATTTCAGTAAGTTCCATAAAACCAGGATATGTATCGCCAAAAAAATGTTCCATAAAAATAGACTTAAATTTTTTTTTCAACAGTTAATTACAAAAAAAGGGCTCGATAGATTTTCAACTGAAACTAATCATTATCATTCCCAAATGATATCTTTCGAACAGTTTTTCATTTTTGAAACTCGATTCGGTAGTATGAGCTTAAATGAGGACAAAAAGTTTAACACTTTTTTCTAAATTACCAAGAAATGTCTCGGCCGATCGCTGTACAAAACTGAGAGAAAATAATCCACATCAAAATACATCGATTGACTTTTAAATTTTTGAAATCGGTTCAGGCGTTTTCGAGCAAACGTCGATGAATATTATAATTTTGACAAATGCAAAAAAAAAACGACACTAATTTTTGCAAACTTCGACGATTTTTAAAAATTAAACGATTTGTCGTAGGACCGTAATATAATATTATGAACTATAAGACTATGGTATCTACCGTCAAAAAAATGCATGTAAATCGTCTAAAAAAATTTTTTTAACACCTTATTACAAGAAAACGGCCCGGCCGATCTTTACCAAAAACTAATCAGGTGGATTCCCAACCAATATGTTTCGAACAGCTTTTGAATTTTCAAAATCGATTCAGAATTGCGGGCTAAAACGTGGACGAAAAATTTTTCACTTTTCTGCGATTTACAAAGAAACAGCTCCGCCGATCGTCGCACAAAACTTAGAAACGCAAGTCCTCATCGAGATACATCGAATGGCTTTTAAATTTTTGAAATCGGTCCAGCTGTTTTTGAGAAAACGTCGATTTACGGCAAAAAATCTGTTCACACACACACACACACACACACACACACACAAACTTTTTCCAAATTTGGTCTCATTCGATTCAGAATGGCTTGAAACGTCGAGAAAACATAAAATTAGCAATTCGGATTTTTTGATGAAAACATAAACTTCTCCTTCGGGAAGTTAAATATTCTATAAAATGTTTTCAAATTTTACTACTTTTAGTTTATACATGTTAAAAAATTTACTTTTACTTTGTAGCCCGAGTTGGCCAAAAAGGTGAACCCGGTCGCGATGGTGTAGATGGTGCTAAAGGAGATCGAGGAGAAATGGGAGATGTTGGAGCACCTGGAAGACACGGAGCCGCTGGTGAAAAGGGTCTACCCGGACCTGCAGGTCCTAGAGTAAGTTTATATTTCAAAACATATGTATAACTCTACAAAGTTCATTATATAAAAATATATCATTTATTAGGGAAGAGATGGTCCCGCTGGTCTACCTGGTCCAGTAGGTCTCAAAGGAGATAGAGGAGCTGATGGTTTGGACGGTTTGCCTGGACGAGCTGGTCCTAAAGGAGAACCTGGTCGTGACGGTCCTGTTGGAGCACCTGGTTTGAGAGGTCCACAAGGTCCTCCAGGTGGTGGACAAGGAGCACCTGGTCCTCAAGGTCCTGCTGGACCTAGAGGTTTCCCTGGACCTGCCGGTCCGAAAGGTAAAACAATAATCTAAACATCATTTACTTTTTAAAACTTTTTGTATGATTATGTTAATTTTATTCTAAGGTCTTGACGGTTTCCCTGGTGAGGTTGGACCTAGAGGTCCGATTGGTCGCACTGGTGGTCCCGGAGAACCCGGAAGACCAGGAGCCGAAGGAGAACCTGGCGAGAAAGGTGAAAGAGGTGAACCTGGTTTAGCTGGATTCCCAGGAGAAACCGGTCCAAGAGGTTATACTGGACCTCAAGGCCCTGCTGGACCCAAGGGCGAAGCTGGAGAGAAAGGATTATCGATTGTTGTAAGCATCGAGTTGCAAGCATTGACAAAAAATATATTATGTAGTTGTATTATTAACTTCCCGTAGGGAAAGTTATTGTAATGGGCCGAAAATCGAAATTCAAAATTTTTACATTTCTCGACGCTTTGAAGGTTATACAAATTTCCAGTCACGTTTTCGGGCGCACGGATCAACCAATTTGAATGGTTCAAAAAACATTTGATTCCTATTTATTTATTTATTTATTTATTTATTTATTTATTCATAAGCAAGCCGTAATCAATAATAATAGATATTATTTCAGGCTCTTGTCAAGCCTATTAAAAGAGAAAAGAGCTAATTAGTTTTTGTCGAAGGCAGGTCTAGCCGTTTCGGAGATACGGAGCAAAGAGTGCAGAAAATAGAAATCGACTTGTTGAGAGAACGGAGTATCCGATTTGAATGATCTAAAAAAACATTCAATTAGTAATGATTGGGAGAAGTGTCAGTTTTATTTAGTTAGTTTATTTATTATTTTATTAGTTTTTGGCAAAGGCAGGCCCAGCCATTTCGAAGATACGGAGCTAAATATGTAAAAAATGGCAGTTTTTGAGAGAACTAAGCGTCCGATATGATTCAAAGAACTTTCTGGTTGTCTTAACGAAATAATTGATTTTGGAAAAAAAATTGTGTACATTTTTTTTTTAGTTTTTTTTGTATATCGAAAATAATTCAGATTTTATTTTTATTCTGACTAAAGTTCTAATATACTTTAAACAAATAATTTCAACTCTGCAATTCAGTTTATATAATTATTATAAATATTAGACAATGTTACAATATTTATAATAATCTATTTGAAAGCATTCAGTATTCCTCGAACATTTCGTTATGGTACGGGAAGTTCCAGCAATTTGCCTTAAGGCACGATGCCATACATCCCACTAGTTTTGATTTAAATTTATCTACAGGGACCCAAAGGTATGGACGGTATGCCCGGAAGAGATGGAGCCAAGGGTGACAAAGGAGAAAGAGGTTATCCTGGTGTTAGAGGTCAACCTGGTGATTCATTAGAAGGCTTAGCTGGACCTCCAGGTCCAGTAGGACCTCAAGGAGACAAAGGCAAGTGTCTAAAATTGAAAATTTCCCAGTTATCTTCACAACAAGTTATTATAAAGTGTCATTTCTATTTTAGGAGACAAAGGTTTGCCCGGATTCCCTGGTTTGGCTGGTCTTGATGGTGCCAAAGGAGACAGAGGTGGCTCTTGCCAAGATTGTAGACCCGGCTTCCAAGGAGATAAAGGTATTTACATTTTATTATTCACACCTGACTGATGATTAATTAAATTCTATATATTCAAGGTGACAGAGGTTTGGATGGTTTGCCTGGACGCGCTGGTGAACCTGGTCCACCAGGTGAGAGAGGTTATCCCGGAGAAAGAGGCGCTGATGGTTTACCAGGAAGAATTGGAGAACGCGGTACACCTGTGAGTAAAACCTTCAACGTAGTCTGAATACAATACAATGAAAAAATAAAATGTTTTTTTTTATCCATTGAGGGTATTGATGGTATGCCTGGATTACCTGGTCCTCAAGGTCAAGCTGGAGAAGCAGCTCTTGTTCCAGATTCATTGATTGTTTACCCGAAAGGAGAACGAGGTTTCACTGGTGAAAAGGGAGCACGAGGACCTAAAGGTGATCCAGGTCCAGCAGGTTTAGCTGGACTTCCAGGTTTACAAGGACCCGTAGGACAAAAGGGAGAACGCGGACGTGACGGGTATGTTAAAGAAAACTAATTTTATACCTCAATAATCTGTTGCATTATTTTAATCGGTGTTTGTTACAGTTACCCAGGAAGTGACGGATTGCCTGGTGTTCCAGGTATCCCAGGAGCTAAAGGAGAGGCAGGACGAAGCGTTAAAGGAGAACCTGGGCGTGCTGGTTATCCAGGAGAAAAGGGTCGAAAAGGAGAGCCTGGAAATGACGGACCTAAAGGTTTCCCTGGTGTATGTCCACCACAAAACTTGACAGCTGGATTCAAAGGTATTATAACTAAAAAAGCTGAACCTAAAAACTATTTCTCAAATTCGAACTTGCTAAATGTTATATTTCTTACTTAGGAAATCAAGGACCCACTGGCCCTAAGGGTGAACCTGGTCCGCCAGGTTATGAAGGTCGCCCAGGAGAAAAAGGAGATCGCGGCTTCCCAGGCTTGAATGGACCCCAAGGACCACCCGGACCTCCAGGACCAGTAGGACCTAGAGGTTTAACAGGACCAAGAGGAGACAAAGGTATAATTTTGAACCAATAATATGATTACATACACAAGAAAAAATATATTAAATTATCGATTATTAGGTGACACCGGTAGTATGGGTTTCCCCGGTGACGCTGGTGCCCCAGGTTTACGCGGTTTGCCAGGAGAGTCAGCACCCAAAGGTCAAAAAGGAGAAGCAGGTATTCCAGGAGTAGGACCACCAGGACCACAAGGTCCACCTGGTCTTAGAGGAGAAAAAGGTCTTCGAGGTGTGCCTGGAGCACCAGGTAGAGATGGACAACCCGGACCACCAGGGTTGACTGGAGAGAAGGGAGAAGTTGGAGTTGCTGGACTTACAGGTAACGTATTACAGACATACGATTGATAAACATCTTTGTGATAAAATTTAAATATACGATATTAACTGTTATATATCCCTTTTAGGTTTGCCAGGTGCTATGGGAGCTAAGGGAGAGCCAGGTCCAGTTGGACCTCCAGGTATAAGTGGAGCCCCAGGTAGGCCAGGAATTGCTGGTCTCAAGGGAGAACCAGGTAGACCAGGTGCACCAGGTTTGCCAGGATCTATCGGCTATCCAGGAGAGAAAGGTGACAAGGGATCAGAAGGTCCAGAGGGTCTTCGTGGTTTTGCTGGACTTCGTGGTTTGCCTGGTGATGTTGGTCTTAGCGGCAGAGATGGCGAAAAGGGAGCTAAAGGTATGATAAACAATTCATAAATTTTAAAATTATTTTGACATCAGCCACTTTTATTTAATAAAAATATAATTTCTTTATCCAGGTGACAAAGGAGATATGGGTATCGCCGGTTTCCCCGGTCTTGCAGGTTTAGATGGTCAAAAGGGTCTGCAAGGTCCTACCGGTCCCAAAGGAGATGTCGGTCCAATCGGTTTGGCAGGACCTCCGGGTAGACCAGGTGCCCCAGGAGCTAAGGGAGACCGCGGTTTCGATGGATTGCCCGGAGCTAAGGGAGAACCAGGACTTGTATCTGAAAAGGGAGCTAAAGGAGAACCAGGAGTACCAGGACTCAGAGGTAAATGAAAAATTTATCGAGGGTTTAAAGATATATTTTACACACATGTTTTCTTTATGACAGGAATTGAAGGCAGACGTGGTTTGGATGGAAGACCCGGAGCTAAGGGTGATGCTGGTCTACCTGGAGTTGGAAGGCCAGGAGCACCTGGAGCTAAAGGAGATCCAGGCAGACCAGGAATGGATGGATTGCCAGGAATTCCAGGAGTTAAGGGAGAACAAGGACCAGTTGGATATCCCGGACTTAAAGGTAATATAATGCGCTAATAAACTCTTCTTTATATTATTGATATATTCGAAAGTTGATTTATTTTTCTTCATTAGGTGAGCCTGGTTTTGCCGGAGCACCTGGTGAACCTGGAAGGCCAGGACTTGACGGTTTGGCAGGACTCAAAGGAGACGACGGCCTTCCTGGACCTATGGGACCTCAAGGAGAAAAGGGAGATAAGGGTACACCCGGTTTTACTGGATTGGACGGTCTTAAAGTAAGTTAAATTTAAAGTAATTTTTGTTCATTTTGATACAAAATATATTATTACTTCTTTCCTAGGGAGAACGCGGTTTGCCAGGACCTACTGGACCCATTGGAGCTCCTGGAAAGGACGGACCCTTCGGAGAACGTGGACCCCCAGGACCTGTTGTCGATGTCAAGGGCGAAAAAGGAGAACCTGGTCTACCTGGATTACAAGGAGCTCCTGGACAAAAAGGAGAAAGAGGTTATCAAGGCCTTGCAGGATTGCAAGGAGAAAAGGGTGATCGAGGTTTCCAAGGTGTGGCCGGTCTTGCTGGTCTTCCTGGTGCTCAAGGACAAAAGGGTGATTCTGGATTACCTGGTCTTCCTGGAGTAGCTGGTTTAACAGTTAAGGGCGAAAAGGGTCTCCCCGGACTTAGCGGCAAACCTGGACGCGATGGATTACCTGGAGTTCCAGGACAAAAGGGAGAAAGAGGTTACGACGGATTGCCTGGCAGGCCAGGAAAGGCTGGACCACCCGGATTGGTAAAAAAATATTTAAGATTAAAATCAATCTATATGATAGAACGAATAAGAAGTTTGATAATCGTACGTTTTTTCTAAATAGGTTGGCGCTCAAGGAGAAAAGGGAGACCGAGGTACACCAGGTTTACCAGGTAAAGGACACATGCACCACAAATAATTTTTTGGTTTAATTTGATAATTGGTTTCAAATATTTTCATATATTTATCTTTTATTTGAAGGTTTGCCCGGTTTGGATGGAAAACCAGGAGAACGCGGTTTCGACGGAGCCCCAGGTATTGCTGGTGAAAAGGGAGACCAGGGACCACCTGGACTTTATGGAGCACCTGGAGAAAAAGGAGACAGGGGTGAAGCTGGAGTGCCTGGATTACCAGGTTAGTGTATACATCTTTTTCATTTAACGCCATTGGGCTTTCTTAATAATACAATAATTTATAACAACTTTTTGCTAATGATTATTACAAAGCTTTTAAATTTACATTTTAGGATTACCTGGTCAAAAGGGAGATCGTGGATTGGACGGACGCCCAGGAGCACCTGGAGCTGCTGGTGCTCAAGGAGAAAGAGGTTTGGTGGGACTTGCTGGACGTGTTGGTCTTGCTGGACGTGATGGCGAAAAGGGAGACAAAGGTAATAAATATAAATTTTAAATTTTAACACGCAGCACAAATAACGAGTTTTTTTTTCCTTAGGTGAAATGGGCCCAACACCTCCACCAGGACCTAAAGGAGACCGCGGTGCACCAGGTCTTCCAGGTTTGCCAGGAGAAAAAGGTGCTGAAGGTCGAGTTGGAGCTGCCGGTCTTATTGGTGCTCGTGGTCCTCAAGGACCTAGTGGACTTCAAGGACCTCCTGGACCAATTGGACCACCAGGAGCACCTGGACCTCAAGGAGCTCGTGGTCTTGTTGGTCTGGCTGGTTTGCCTGGAGCTGCTGGTGCTAAGGGTGACGCCGGAAGGCCGTGCGAGGCAAGGGCGGAACTTGACTTTAACGGAGTTTTGCTGGTCAAACATTCACAAAGCTCAGAAGTACCGGTAAGGATAATAGACTCATGAACTATTCATTCTGCATTCGAAAGACATTTTAAATAATATTTTTTGTGCAGACGTGCGAACCAGGACATATCAAATTATGGGATGGTTACTCATTGTTGTACATTGACGGAAACGAACACGCTCACAACCAAGATTTAGGACAAGCAGGTAAATTATTAGCGAACTTAACAAATCCTTAAAAATATGCAGACCTTAATTTATTCTACTGAGACACCTTTTTTAGGTTCATGTGTCCGAAGATTCAGTGCTATGCCATTCTTGTACTGCGACTCTGGCAACGCTTGTGCATATGCTGCAAGAAATGATCGTTCTTACTGGTTGGCAACAAATGCACCAGTTCCAATGATGCCAGTTGAAGGTGCAGCCGTCAGAGAATACGTCAGCAGGTAAGGCACAGATACAAAGGGCCTGGGCGTGTTTCCATACAGAATTGGCCCCACCCTGGTATTTAAATAATTTGCCATTTTACAATAGCTATCCAAATTGCAATAATTACAATGGCTATCCAAATGACAACTATTACTTTTTCAGCGATAGTAAAAACAATTATAATTATTTTTTCTATGTAACTACTATACAATTCTGCATCATCCACAGTTTACTCAATTTAATTCCCTTTCTATGTAAATATTTATTGTAATACTTGCAATTTTTCGACATCATGATAAAATTGTCACTAAAATGTAAAATTATTGCAATTTCAGTCAAGTTATAAATAGTGCACAGAAAAGAAAATATATTTTTTGCAAAACTAATATCGATTCAAAAAATAATAATTGCTATTTTACCTATTCTCCATGGAAAACCACAATAATTATAATCTGTGAAATTCTATATGTAAACAAATTGTTCACAGAGATATATTTTTCAATATACTTTTAATATATGAAAAATAATGAAATCTTAAGTTTTTCATATATTGAAATATATTAGTCAGAACTTACACGGCGAATGAAAATAATCAATAACAATAATTATTGTTTTATTCGGTGCGTTGGATTTTTTATGACTAATGAATATACTTATATACAAGATATAAATAAATTTTGGTTTTTAATAAATATTTCCATGCTTATATACATAATTTGTCGAGGCGCTCGAAAACGACGAGCCTTATGCTTGCTCGTCGCTCTTGCAAAGCGACTTAATATGGGTGTTCTTGTACCGGCAGCGCGCGTACTAGCTTAAGTTTTTCCAACTTTTCTCCCAAAGTTCCACTTAAATATAAATGAATTTTTGAAAAATAGAAGAAAATTGTATAGGTTTTCGAATGATGCTAATATAAAAGTAGTCAAAATAGCCGCACTGGTAGAAAATGGAAAATGAAAAATCATTTTCACCTTTTCACGCACTAACAAATAATTTTTTCACATTATTTGTTATGAACAACATAGACAAGATCAGTACAATTAGAATGACGTTAACAGTTTTTCGATATCTCTCATATTTCCGAAAAAGAGTGAGTTTGAAAAAAGAGGCCACTTTCACATGTTTTCACTGATATCTCGACCAAATAATGAGCTACGGATATGAAATTTGGTATTTCGAATTTTCTCAAAACTATATATAAAATGGCATCTGTCTATCTATAAAATTATTTAAATACCATGGTAGGGCCAATTCTGTATGGAAACACGCCCATACCCTTTGCGTATTTACAAGATATTTACTTCTTCTCGAATTTAACAGATGTACAGTTTGCGAAGCACCAGCTGATGTAGTAGCTGTACACAGTCAATCAGAAGCAGTTCCTGACTGTCCAAGAGGATGGAGGGGATTGTGGATCGGTTTCAGTTTCGTCATGGTAAGTAATAATACTGACTCATAAGCTTCTGGAAACTGGGTATTTATATCCTGTTTTTTTTAGCACACCGGTGCTGGAGCCGGCGGTGGTGGACAAGCCTTGTCCTCGCCAGGTTCTTGTTTGCAAGACTTCAGAGCGACACCATTCGTCGAGTGTGCTGGTGCTCGTGGTTCTTGTCACTTCTACGCAAATGCCCTCAGTTTCTGGATGGCAACCATCGAAGAGGCTGCCCAATTCAGGGCACCACAGAAAGAAACGCTAAAAGCAGGAACACTGAGGACGAGGGTGTCCAGGTGCCAAGTCTGTATTAGGCACTAGTAGGGGAGGATATAGAGGTATCGAGTAATATATGGTAAGTGAGGAATAAACAGGGGCGTAACTACCGCCGTATTAGCCGTATCAAAAATACGCGGCCCCCGAGCCAGGGGGGCCCCCCCTACGAGCGCAAGCCGGAGGCAACAAAAAATTTTCCAGCAAATTGAATAATTTTAACGTAGTTTGCATTTCCTTTTGTTATCGAGTGAAATTGAACTTAACTTGTAAGCTAACGCTTTAAAAGAATTTATTTCTACTACAATATTTCTGCAATCTCTAGCAATCAATTCAATGAGTAAAGCTTCAATTAGTAAACTTTTGAACATCCGATAAGTTAATATTCTTGTCCTCAAATCTATAAAACTAATCCAATTTATGCATTCTTCATCGAAAATTGGAGTTTGGAATTTTTATAGTTATATTTATAACATTTTTATATTTGTTTTTGTTAATACTTAATTTTTTTGCACGACGCGTAAGCTTAATGGTTAGATTTTGATAAATATAATCAATTAAATCATTTTCAGATTTTTTACTTTGCAGTTTCTAATTATTAATTTCATTTCTGAAACTTTACAACATGCCAGTAATGACTTACAAAAAATAGTATTTTATTAAGTAATTTTTTGAATAGACTGTGCGAATTAAGATATGAAAAATAATTGAATTAGTTTGCTAAAGAAGTCCAAATAATTTGCAAAAAGATGGTTTGCAATAACTATTTTAAAGAACAAGAGACAAAAAGATAATGAAGCGTTATTATGATGAGTTATCAAATGTTATTAGGATGAGTTATTCCTCCCAAGATGAATGAATTTTAGACCTGAAATCTTTTTTTAATGTATACTATTGCTGTTTGGATATATTAATTGCACAAACCAAACAAAGATTTCAAAACCTTTGCGGCGTAAATAGTAACATTTGTTTTTTTTTTAAATCGAGAATTCATAAACGTTTCCGAAAAACTGTCGACTGAATTACTATAAAAAAATAATGTAAAAATATCTCTTATGATCATGACCAAAAAATAGCCTTAGAAATAGGTTTGAATACAGAAATCTAAGAAATTTATTTCATTAAGGTACAATGATGGATGCAATGGGCTTGCATCCAGTTTTCTCAACGAAATAACAGTATGCATTTTATTCTTGGCCCGTCCAGTTACAATCGCAACTGCTAAAAAAAATTAAAATCAAAATCAATTAAAAATTACTTGAAAACTTTAGGACGGAAATGTCTACCAGACCTGTATGTTTCTAGGGGCAGAAACTTTATAAATCTTCACTAAATAATTCAGATTTTCAAAAAAAGGCAAGAAGAGTGAATATATATCTGGAATCATTTGTGAAAAATCAGAAAATTAGAGAAAATTAGATAGATAAACAATTAGAATGATAAATAAATATTTATTTAATTTTATGTATTTTTATATTTTGTAAAAAAAGTTTCTTCTTGAGGGGCCCCCAAACAAACTTTGATACGGGGCCCCGCCAAGGCACGCTACGCCCCTGGGAATAAATAAATAAAAGTATGAAAAAAATATTAATATTATGTTTGTTTTTTTTTCAGATTAAGAAACACAAACACAAAGAAGCACAAAAAGTTGGAGCCAAAAAAATAAAATTAATATATACATAAATATATAGAAGAAACCCAAACCCAAAAATAATGTGATGTAAAACTTTATATAAAACCACAAAACGAGCTTCAGAAATCTAAATTTTAACAAAATTAAAAACTATATCACAACTCGATTCTATTTTTTTATGTATCACATTGTAAAAAAATCACAATAATAATTTTTAAGATTTTTTATAAAAAAATTGTACAAAAATTAAATTCAATTGCAAAAAAACATTCACTGCCTTAGTAGGAAAAAATTATATATGTATATAATATTTATTTATATATGTATATAATTTTTAACAATTGTATATAATATACAAATTATATGAGTTAAGTATATTTTTTCTATTAAATTGTAAAATTTGGACATTTTCTTTTATAGTAAAATTTTATAAATGAGAATTAGTTTGTATAAATAAATAAATAATTATAAACAAATGAAAAAGAATTAAATTCTAGACATCGCTAATATGAAATATATAAAGAAATTATGTATTTTATTTTCAAAATAAACAAAACTGTTATATGTAAAATATTTTGTATTATTTAAAAATAATATAAATATACTAGCTGACCCGGCAAATGTATAGAAAATTATTGAATTACTGGTATGGCGTTTACAAAATAGGGTTTTATGCTAGAAGGGTGTAAATTTAGAGTTGTAGGTGTTTTCCAATTCCAAAAATTTCAAAAAAGTGATAGAAGTGCGCAGACAAACCCTTGTTATATATACTAGCTGACCCGGCAAATATAATTACTTAAATGACAATTATAAAAATAGGGTTTGTGGTAAGAGAGTGAAAATTTAGGGTTGTATGTATTTTTCAATTCCAATATTGTACAAAAATACAGTTAAGAAAGTTAATCCAAAAAATTTAAAAAATGTATTAGAAGTGGACAACCTCTTTTTATATATATGATACTAGCTGACCCTGCAAATGAAATGATTGATTTACTGAAATGACAATTATAAAAATAGAGGCTTGTGATAATGTGAAAATTTAGGATTGTATGTGCGTTTCAATTCCACATTGTATAAAAATAATGTGAAGGAAATTGGTCTAGAAAATAAAAAATAAGTGTTAGGAGT